TAATCGGTGAGGCTCCGCGCGGACATGCCGAGCTGGGCTCGTCGAGAGAAACAGCGGGTTTGACCTTCAGAATCTGTCCTTGTCTCTATGATCGCTTGTTTCTAACGTCCGAAAATACTTTCTCAGCGATCTCGGCCGTTTGGCGTGTATCATAAGGGGGAAAGAGACATTCTAGATAACGTATAACTTTTATTAAATTATATTGATCATATACCTTTCTCATTAACGTATAATAGCAAAAGTGATTCCAAAACCTGAGAGTTGACGAAATATAGTTTACGATTTTCCGTGCGAATTATATACCATGTTCGTAGAAGTGATTCGTAAGAACTCGGCGTGGTCTCGGGCGTTAGGTGCGAGACCAGTATTCTGAAGATCCTACGCTCAATCCTGCTTTTCCCTTTTTTCATAATTTTTATTTTTTTATAAATAACGTTATGAATAAACATATTACTACAAATATATTTTTATATAATTACACTATACGTGTACTTTTAATTTTTATTTCAACAACTGTTGGAAGAATCTGGAGACACGGTAGTGTCTCGGCGCTGACACATGGTGCGAGACATTGCCGTGCTCTTTTACGCGAGCCGTCGAGTTGCGTACCGAATCACTTCAACAGCCAAATACAAAATTATTTTTATATTGCACAACATATAAACGCTTTTTAATTTGTAAACTATAAGATTATATTGACATCATCCTCATAATTATATTAATCATCGCGCTCTCGCGATTTTGTTCATTATCAAAATTTTGATACATTTGGATGATAGTTGTAAGAAAACATTTAACAGATAGTACTGATCGACACATAACGTTACATAATTACAAAAACATAAATTTTTTTTCGGATTTTTTTTAAAGATAAACAGATTTCATTTATATATAAAAATACTGATTTTCCATCTATTCGACGCGTACTATGTCAAATTCTTTTGCTACAATTGTCGGTTACAATCTTTTAGAAATACACATATAATTTCAGTAATTAAATAAAAATATATTTAATCTGTAATATATGTTTATTAATAATTTTACTTATTTTAGAAAAAAAATTATGAAAAATAGAAAAAAGAAATCAATCATGGGATCTGTAACATTCTGATCTCGCACTCTACGCGCGAGACCACGCTGAGTTCGTGCAAACCACTTCTATATGAACGTAATATATAACGCTCATTGAAATTCATGAAAATGTCAATATTTCGTAAATTATCATATTTTGAAATTATTTTTGCTATTATACATAAATTGGAAGAATATACGATTAGTGTAATTTATTAATACTTATACGTTATCTATAATGTCCCTTCTCTCCTTATTTGCACATATTGAGCGGCCGAAATTGCCGCGAAAGCATTTTCGGTCGCTTGTAAAGAAGCGATCAGAGCGAAAAGACGGCTTATTATCGCTGTCTCGGTCGCTCTCGCTCCGCGCGGGAGCTATAGATTCGTGAGTCGAACTGGCACGCGGAAATCGGAAGACAGTTGAAAAACAATACACGAGCGTAGCAACTGATCGGTTGCCGAGTCGAAGTCAGTGTTAGATGTTCGTCAGTCTGTGTCGTGTCGTGGTGCAGTGCGGTGCGTGCAGTGCTCTAAGGTGAGATAACCTTTTCAATAAAGTGATAGTAATAGCGATTGTATTCCATTATTCGTTGCGATTACTGAAAATGTAGAGGTAAAGTATACGTAACGTGAAGTATATATTTTCAGTATTCACACTGAATAATGGAATGTAGCCAGTAGCCAGTGGTCATATTCGGAAGAATATTTTCAAATTTATTTTCTTTTTTTTAATTATGTTATATTTTTAGACGCATATCAGAGAGGCAGAGAGAAAGAGAGACAGAGGGAGAGAGATAAGGACGAAAAGAGCAGGAGAGAGAGAGAGAGAGAGAGAGAGAGAGAGAGAGAGAGAGAGAGAGAGAGAGAGAAACAATCCGGCGAGAAGCCTCGACCACGTAAGTATAATTAAATGTTTCTTCCGATTTATCGGTTATCTAGGAGTATGCTGTCAGCTCTATTCGCGCATTTTCTCCTTATGTGTCTAAAAACCGAGAGTAAAGAATAACGTATTAGCTGAAAGCGTGCTTCTGCAGTCTTCGTTTTATTAATTTTTTCCATCTATCTTTTTCACTTTTGTCACATCCGGGGCGCGCGAGTGCGGATGCCCCTCGGACGCGGCGTGGGCCCGTCCAACGACGGCTCGGCGTGATTCTCGCCCCGAGCGGCAAGGGCAGTAATCACGGTTACCGGAGTTAAGGAGGGAGGTTGACTATCACAAAATAATCACGTAGAAATCTTAATTCGCGGAGTCAATTACTAATTTATTTAAGTACACCTCTCATTATAAATGCACGCGTTGAGCAGAACTGTCCGGTGACAGTCTCGACCTTGACAACTTTGGGCAGTGGTCTCGTGGGTAGAGGCGGTGGAGGTGGCAGATCTCGGCAATTGCCAGGGACGGGATGATAATAACCCGGCGGCTGGACAATGCGGGGGTCGGTGAATTCCCGCGCGTCAAAATCCGCGCGCCAATGGTACTCGCGTTGCATCCGTTTCAACGCCTTGTCCCTACCGGCGCGGTTCCCCTTTGTCATCTACAATGTACCCGATATTATCAACGACAGGCGGG